TAAAAGTTTCACCCTACTGAAAGTTGAAACCTGACTAATTTTAAGAAATATAAATTGATAGAAGTTGTAAAGATTTGAAACTCTTACGTAGTTTACCTCTTCTAACCTCTCAGTGTTATGGCTACTGCAGTGCATTCACATAGAATTAGAATGTGAAACAGTGCTTCAAAATCACTTATTTTTTGGTTTACATATAAAAATTTAAAACCCTAAACTTCCATCACATTTCAATATGTTCTAGTCAAAAATTAAGATGCTCCAGATCCTGGATTTGTTTCTTTTCTATCTTGTAGCAAGATGCCAAAAGCATTGCCCTCATACATGAACTTCAGTCTTATACTCTTAGCTCCTGTATTTATTAACAAAGTACTGACTCACTTGATCACTCATTAGAACCTGTTTTTCAAAAATTGTGTTTTGCTTTGAGATTGTAATCACATTGAGACCGCATAAACCTATTTGTTTATGAAAAATTTCAAATTTTAGTCACTTTTTCCTCTCCATCTTACAGCTAGCTTTTGTACATCGAATTTTATCAGCAACAACAAGGTTGTTTCCACTATCTTGTGTTTGAATCCATTTAATTTTCCAAAATAAAAAACTTATTACTGATCGTCTGATCCTATCCCTAATGGAATTAGGTCTTTTACCCTCATTGACAACTGAACTAGCTTAAAACAGTCACCAATCAATACGACCTAATTGAACTCAGGAATATCCATTCATGGCTTCACAAATCCTACTAAAGCAGAAAATTGTGTACTTCTCACCCACAGCACAGCACCAATGTACAAGAATAATACAAAGTTCAGATCAACACTAAAATTGAGATCCTAGCATCATCACAAAATAGTAATTTATGAAAGAAAATCGAACAGATTAGTGCACTCATTCCCGGGAGAGAAGAGACTTACTTAGATTCCGGATTAGGGGAAGTAGAATCTGAGTAATCAACGGGTTGGACAGTGTGGTCAGAGCTCAGAAGGTCCTTGCTGGTCACGTCTAGGGTTTGGTCACCAAGGCACTTCACACGGAGGTAGAACTCGACTGAGCAAAACTCGCACTGGCCGTCTCCGTCGCAGGCGTCACAATCGCGCGAGAAGCGCATGCTCATTGCCCGCTCGCTGGTGAGAGGAATGAGGCCAAGACGGTGGGCAAGGAACTCGTCGTTGAGGACCGTGGAGTTGCACTCGATTTCAACGAGGTCAATGGCGATGGTGGGAACCTCGGCGATCATTACGCGCCGAAGCGCGTTGGCTATGCTGGCATCAGTGTCGCGAAGCTCAAACTTCATGTAGTCGTCCTTCACTTCCCGGATTTTAATCTTCGGGAATCTCTGGTTCGATACTCCCTCCATTCTCGCCTTCTTCCTCACTCGGTGTTTTCTGACTTGAGTGACTTCTCAGTTCTCACAGCTAAAATTCTAAAACCCTCTTCGGATCATTATACCGTTTTTTTTTAATATGAAATTTCGTATTGACATCTCACTGCTAATTCCGTATTGACCCCTCGATTAGCATACAAATTTCGTCCCGCGACTCCTTTGCCTAAACATTACAGAAAACAAACGGGTCAGCCAGACCAGGCTTTTGTCTATTCAGACCAGGTGAGTCGGAGAAACCGAAAACCGAAAACCGAAAATCGAGTCGAAAAAATCCAAACCGCAACCAAAACAACCGAACCACAAGGAAACCGAAACCAAACTAAAAAACCGAACTGAATCGTAGTTGTTTGGTTTCGGTTTTGGTTTTCACATCTCAAAACCGAATCGAACCGAATAAACCGAACTTTTTAAAACTAGTTATTTTATTTATTAATCATTAAGTATAATATTTTGTTTAGTTTTAAATTCTTAACTCTAGAAAATTAATGTTATGTTTGATAATAGATTTATTATGATTTGCAAGATATTGACATTTAATATTTATGGTTTAATTAAGTGAAACACTTGTACATACAATTAAGTCTATTGCTATAATACTAATATGTTGATATTTTAAATCGTAATTTACATTTTGCTTGTTGTTGCATGACAATGACATTTTATTGATATATTATATGTTATGTATATATGTTTGTTATCACATACGGAGTAGTTTTTTTTATATTGAACAAATATGTATTAATATAAACTATACTTTAAACAACATAGCAGAAAACGAGAAACTTTAGAGCATAAATATCTTTGTCTAAAAAGAAAATTGAAATTATTTACTAATAAAATTTTAACTTGCGAATACACTGTATATAATTCACAAATAAACTCACACATTTAATTAATTTAGAAAATGTTTAAATTGGTATACACATACTCTTAATTCATTGCTTGGAAATGCATTTGTTTCCCCTCTTTTTTTTAGTTATGTATGTTATTGTATTGTGTAACTATTAATACTAGTTTGATATAGTTTGTTTTTTGCTTTTGTTTTCCAATTACTATTTTTCTAATCAACAAAAATATTTTGATAAAAACCGAAAAAACTGAAACCGAACCGAACAAACCGTGGTTCCAAATTTTTGAACATAAAACCGAACCGAACTTTTTACTTTGATTCTACATTTGGTACAGTTTTAGGTGAAAACCGAACCGTTTGAACCGAACCCACCCCTAATTCAGACCGAACTTTTTTTTAGAATTTATAGCCTGAGCCTGACCTGGTAACCGTTAAAGGTCTGTTTTTTCGGTCTGAGCCTGACCTGTTTAAAAGCCTGACCTGGCCTGAATCTTGTTTACTGGGCCTGTTAAGAAAAAATCAAAAGTTCAAAAAATTAAATAATAAAAAGTGAAAAATCCTTATAACGCGATATAAAATTTATTCCTCCAAATATTCACTAAAAAGTCTAATAATACGTTAAGTTTGTTTTGAATGTCTAATAATACGTTAACTATGTAGCTTATAAATTTTTATGTACTTCAAATCTTGAAAACCATTGAATTTCTATTACCCTATAACCTATCAACAGACCATACATATTTGAAATAGTATTCTAATTTATAATACACACTTCATAACAATACTATTATGCTTAACTTGCTATAGTTAATTATAATAAATATAAATATAAATAATACAAATAAATATAAATATAACTAAATATATATACACATAAATAGGCCAGCCTGTTAAGTTAAAAATGCTTTAGAGTTGGGCTAGCCTGACCTATTGAGGTAAACGTGCTTTTTGAAAAGCCCAAGCCAGACCTTAAACAGGCCAAGCTATAGCCCATAGGCCCCTGACATGCCCCTAACAGGCCGCCTGACCTATTCCCACCCCTACCTTTGGGGGGTGTTTGCAAAAAATAAAAATAAAAAGTAATTTTCATCTTTTGGTTTTAAAAAAGTTGAAATTGGTGTTTTCAAGTGACAGTTTATGCATAAAGTAAGCACTTAAAAGTTAAAAGATGGAATTAGTTTGAGAAGTGTTTCAAACTGTTTTTTCTAATACACCAAAATCACTTATTTTATCAAATAATACCAACTTTTACTTTTACAAAATCATTTTTTTTCTCAAATACTACTAACTTTTACTACTACGTATTAAGCATTTTTTCCAAAAATAGTTTGAAATATCACTTTCATAAAGTATAAGCAATCACAAACACTCCCTTAGCCCTTTACAACACCTTCAAGTATTCGGGTAGATTAATCCATAATTGTAGGGTGATCCCTATTCAAAAGGGCACTTGTGCACTTGTTTTTTGTTTGTTTGCAAATTAGTGACGCTTTCAATAGGACTGAAATTTTCTGTTTTGGAATGATTTGGTCTGTTCTTATTTAGTCTGATCTAGTTTATTTAAATCTGATATGATTTAATAAATGTTCGTTCTATGTATAATTTACAATTTTCGAAGTCTGATTTGATCTAGTCTGGGTTGTTTATGTCTAATTTGAGCTAGTAAGTTGTCGACTTACTAGCATGCTTTATGGCATGTTTTGTATAGCTAAGGTAACTCACCCACAAATGCACACACACTATTTCTTTAGGAAAATGCTTTTGGTACACAAAATGTGTACACATGTCTGTCCTTCTCAGAAAATTTGTCTGTCACAGACAATTCATTATGAGTTGTCTGTGACAGAAAAATTTTCTCCGAAGGACAGACATGTGTACACATTTTGTGTACCCCAAGCAAAATCCATTTCTTTATGGCAAATGCAGCAAATGTTTGCAAGGATAAAGGAAAACGAGTTGTGAGGCCTGTGACTCTGAGGGTAGGTAGTGCCCAAGTTGGTAATCTGGTGTACAACTTCAGTGTATAAGGAGAAAAAAGACCAAAGAATAATGTTTTCTTTATTTAGAAAATGAAAATGATACTCATATAGCATTAGAAAAAGAATCTCTTTAGTGTCTCATTGCCCTTCTATTAAAAATTTAAGCATATGGGTCCAGAATTCCAGATTTTGTTACCAGTTTTGATTTTATAGTATAGGAACCGGCATCTCTAGTTCCAATTCTTTTTTTTGCATTTGCAGTGACTAGTGTAAGGTTTTGAATGTGAACATCTGAAGAACAAAAAAGGAATCAGGGTAGATTGAAATCAATTCTTGTCACCCCCATTCGGAAACTGAAAAGCAAGTGTTTTTAACTCAAACAGGTCCAGGTTCCCGAGTCAAGAATTTGGGCAACTGAAACATCAGTTTGGGAGAATGTATGAGGACGGGTGGTTCTTAACTGATTTTGGTAACATCACGTCCAGTTCGGTTTCAGCAGTTTTCCATCCTCTTTTCCCCAACTGCCATCGCTGCAGTGCAAAACTTCCTGTTGTATTTTTCATTCCATTGCATTTGTTGCAGGCCGTGCAAGTCCAGCCCAGGTTTTTCTCCAGTTTTAAACAGAAATGATCTGGCTCCAAATCAGAATCGATTCAGAAAACCTAACCACTGATTGCTTTGAGCCTGCGGTTACGACTTATGAATCACGGGCTCACGGCTAAACCCCTGTTTCAGTTTCAAGACTGACGCTCCAGGTTAAACCAGAAACAATGGACAGGTATAGCGTGTTGTAAGTAACGCTTACATGCATGCCTGTGTTAGAGACTTTGAACTATAACGGCATAGTTAACAAAAAAGAAATGCTTAAAGATTTTATTAAATGAAAAAAGATGGTCTGGTTTACAAATAATTATCAAAACTAAATAAACTTCAATAAATTCCAAATATTCCAAACATATTAAGCATGATCGAATGGTTCCATGACTGAATTTTACATTTTCGGTCACAAACCTTATTCAGCACATAAGCAGCATCAGTCTAGCTCAACAAAGGTGTAGAGCTTAAAAAAATCAAATCTTTGATTGTTTGGCAATCTTGAACCACTCGGTATGGAAGGAACCCGACATGTCGGTCCTCTCGTATGTATGAGCCCCAAAGTAATCCCGCTGAGCTTGGACCAAATTGGCTGGCAGACTTTCCCTCCTGTACGAGTCAAAATAAGCCAAACTCGAAGACATACCAGGGGTACTAATACCAGAGCTGATAGCAAGGCAAACAACTCTTCTCCAAGCAGACTGCCTTTCAATTATCTCCTTTGCAAACTCTTCATCCACTAGAAGGTTGGCAAGATCTGGGTTTCTGTCATAGGCCTTCTTGATACGGTCCAAAAATATAGCACGGATAATGCAGCCCCCCTTCCAAATCCGAGCCAGCTCACCGAGTTTCAAATCCCATTCTTTCTCAACACTCTTTGCACGAATCAAGTTCATCCCCTGTGCATAACTGCATATCTTGGAAGCATAAAGTGCCTTCCTGACGTCATCGATCAGCTGTTTCTTGTCAACAACAACCTGGTCAGCAATGACATCACCTATCCCACCGGCTTTAAATATCTTCGCTGCTTTGACCCTCTCTTCCTTCAACCCACTGAGGAATCTCGAGTCCAGTGACGAAGCGATCGTCGGGGTGGCAACTGACAGTTCAGCAGCTTGCTGAACCGTCCACTTCCCGGTCCCCTTCATGCCAGTTTTATCCAAAACCTTATCCACCAAATACCCGTCTGCCTTGTCATCCTTGATTCCAAATATATCGGCAGTGATCTCAATCAAGAAGCTCAAAAGTTCCCCTTTATTCCACTCCGTGAACACTTCATGCAATTCAGCATTGGATAGCTTGCCCACAGATTTCAAAACATCATATGCTTCGGCAATCAATTGCATGTCACCATACTCGATACCATTGTGAACCATTTTAACAAAGTTTCCAGATCCGCCCTTGCCAATGTAAGTCACACATGGCCCGCTGTCTGGGACTTGGGCTGCTACTTTGAGTAGGATGTCTTCGATGTGCTTGTACGCCTCGAAAGAGCCTCCAGGCATTAGTGATGGGCCTTGCCTAGCACCTTCTTCACCGCCAGACACTCCCATTCCAAGATAAAGCAAGCCCAATTCGGCTGCTTCTCTTTCTCTCCTCTCGGTGTTCTCATACCACTCATTGCCTCCATCGATGATACAGTCTCCTTTCTCCAGGTAGACTGAGAGGGTTTTGATGGTCTGGTCAACTGGAGAACCAGCTTTGACGAGGATAATGATGACACGAGGCTTTTGGATGGAGAGAACAAAGGATTTGGGGTCGTGAAAACCGTAGAGTGGGAGATCACCTTCTGCTTTGGCTCGTTCAACAGTCTCATCGACTTTTGAGGTTGATCTATTGTAGACGGATATCGGGAACCCTTTCTCGGCTATGTTGAGTGCAAGGTTTTGTCCCATTACAGCTAGGCCAGCAAGGCCAATTCGAGTTGGGGTCGGTGCCATGCTTTTTCACCTGTGATTTTGGAGCACACATATTTATTATAAGAGGCCTAAAGTTGCCAGAAAAACTAATAAGGAAAAAATCTTCAAGAGTTATTACTTGATTTCATCCTTCGACTATATGTTATTACTCAATTTGGTTCTCAGATTATGTTTAGACAGGATTTGGGTATCAGCTCTAAAAATTGGACCCATTTAGTCCTCAATACATATAGGGATCTAAACACTAAATGCACGTTAGTCAGTTCACCGGGTTTTGGCCCAACTTATGACTCAATTTCGTCATAACAATGTAGTCAGGAAAATTTGGCTCAAGCGGTACAACAATACCTTCATTCATTAGAGTGAAACATGAATGAGGATTTAGTAGAGTCTAAATCGCCTAGTGGATGATTAAATTGAGTCCAAATGAAAGCCGAGAACCAAATTGAGTAATAAGTGTATAGTCGAGGGGCTAAATAGGGTATTAACTCTAATTTATGCTTTAAAACCTTTCAGATCTTATTGTCTTCAGAAATTCTGCCAATAATTTTACTATGTTCAGCAAGATGGGCCTCTTAAGGTCAAAAGATTTTACGACAGTAATATGGAAAAGAAAATTTTCAGAAAAGGAAATTAGTAAATACTCCGTATTGTTTTGGTCCAGCAGAGAGGCTCAAGGTGGATAGTGCTCCACTGCTATCACAGCAAAGATCAAGCTTTTAACAGGAAATTTAAAGTTGCCTAAGCTGTAGTAAAGGACTGTTTGTAATTGTAAAAGGCAAAAAACAGATCAGAAAGGGGTATTTGCAATTTAAAGCGGGCGGACTTCAGATCCAAACAAATCAAAAAGCCAAATCACAAGATCCTTGACATAATAGGCATCAGCACATGCAGGTTAGACTATTTTTATGGAAGCTTCTTAACAGATATATCCCTATCACTGATAATCTGTATAGATTTCAACAGGTTCTAAGGCCCTCTAGATGTCCTCTTTGTAAATCTCATGGTGAAAATACAGATCACATCTTCTTTGGATGTGAATATTCTAGGAAAATTTGGCAGCATTTCATGGGGATTTTTGATATACCACTTCCTACCCAGAGTTCTATCAGACAAATACTTGTTCTTTGGTGGATTCAGGCTGGTTCAAAAACTTTGGCAGATATCTTCAAACACAATCTGCCTGGAATCATATGCTGGCACATGTGGAAGGTCTACGCTTCTTTTACTTGGGGATCTGGATGTATAGCAGCCCCAGAACATCTCATCTACCAGATTAAACAATACACTCACAAGTGGTCTTATCGGCTGGCCAAAATTAAACGAAGGAAAATTGACTCCTATCTTATCCAAGAACAATTGATTCCTGCCAACTTTAGATTTATTAATTCCAACTACCAGGTCATTGAGTGGAAACGACCAAGGACTAAATACAAACTAAATGTTGATGCCTCGTATAAACCTGGAGTTGCGACAGGAAGAGAAATCCTTCGAGATCGGGATGGTAAGCTGATTTGGGCAGTTTGCTTCAAGATTCAGGCTGAGACGTGCGAGGAAGCGGAATTAAGGAGCTTGATTTACGCTGCAGACTTGGCGATGGCGAAGGGTCTTGTTGACCTTCAGGTGGAGACGGATGCAGTTCGATGTTAGCTTTACTCAACCAGGACAACGCTTCAGAAAACTAGTGTTTGGGTTTGTTTTTAAAAAAGCGTTTCTAGGCTTTTTGTCTTAAAAAAAAAAGTTAAAAAGTGTTTTCAAATGACAGTTTCTGCTTAAATTAATTAATCACTTAAAAGCTAAAAGCTGGAAGCAAGTAGAAGGGTGCTTTAAATTGCTTCTCACTCTTTCTATTACACAAAAAGTACTTATTTTATCAAATACTACCAACTTTTACTATTAATCACTGTTCCCAAAATCACTTTAAAAAATCACTTTTTTAAAGTTGAAGCAATTGCAAACACTCCCTAAGTGAGATTAGGACATAGGGCTGGTTTGCAACTCTTAAAAAAAAAACACTTCTCAGCTTTTGGTTTAAAAAAACACTTATTTACCAAACACTATTAATTTTTTACTTTTCTCGGCTTTCGTCTCAAAAGTGTTTTCCCCCTTTTTATACACCAAAAACACTTATTTTACCAAACACTATCAACTTTTACTTTTTAAAATCACTTTTTTCTCAAACACTATCAACTTTTATGATTAACATTTTTCCAAATTACTCCAAAAGTGTTTTTTAAGCAGACCTGTTGCAAACACTCCCTTAGACGAAAGATGGGAGATTTGGGCTTCACGCTTGGTCATGTTTTTAGAGAAGGTAATGGTCCAACCCACTTTTTGGCTGGTCAAAAAATTCCCTCAGCCCAAAGTCTTTTCTTTGACAGTGTGGATGATTTTAAGAATAGCTATTATGCTCATTTATATGGGTTTCCTTGGGTTCGTTGGTAATATTGTATTTCTTCTTTATTTCAGGTCCCCCTCCCCATTATACTTTCTTTCTGATTATAAATAAAACTCTGACTACCAAAAAAAGATCCTTGACATAATCAGTCTTATCTGAGCAACTACGAGGAATCCCCAAAAACTAGGGGTGGGATCGGGATCGATTGCCCAAATCCCGATCCCGTCCCGATCCCGATTCAAACTACAAGAGGATCCCGTATTCCGTCCCGATTAAGTCAGGATCTCGACATTAAAATCCCGATTAAGTCAGGATCCCGATCGGGAATCCCACTTAATTCCGCTAAATCCCGACAATGAAGTATCAAACATAAAATTGTGTAATTTTTTAGTTAAACAATATGATATTTAGTGGTTTCAAGATTATTCTTTGTTCATTGTTATACCATATTTATCATCATCTACTTATAAAATTTATTGTAATAATCATTATCTCGAATTCACACTAGTACATACTTTTAGAATAATTTTTATTTGTAAGTTCAATTAATTAATAGTATAATTTTTTAATCAAGGCTTAGTGAAATTCACTTCAAACATTATATAAAAATCACTAAAAGAAGGATGCGTAACGTATATTATTTAAAATTCAAAACTAAGTAGACTCATCGAGAAACTTTGTGACCAATGAATATACTGTATAAATACATATTATGATTATTTACTAAAGAAAGAAATCTTAGTCTCGGTCATGATTTTTTAAAGAGTTCATTAGAACTGCAAAATTTGTAATATTTTTGTGATTTAGATTGTCGGGATCAAGAATAATCTCTATTTAGTTAGAATCCCGAGTATTAATTTTTGGACAAATGCCGAATAGTTTTAGAAGTTTGGTATTGTAAGATACTCGTAGTAAAAGATTAATCTATATAAGGAATAAGTAATTAAAAAAGATATGCAAATATTTAGATCCATATTCATTTTTTATATATTCATATATAATTATATACATGTGTGTGTGTGTATATATATATATATATATATATATATATATATATATATATATATATATACATACACACACTACGAATATATTGTCGGGATGTCGGGATTTTCCCGATCCCGGTCCCATCCCGACTTAGTCGGGATCGGGATTGTCGGGATCGGGAGTTTTTTCCCAGCCCTACCCAAAACACAGAGAAAAATAACCTTACATAAACATTGGATCAAACAACGATTTCACAGAAGCGCGTAGTAAAATAAAGATGTTGAGATTCTACACTAGGACAGTAAGACTAGGGAGTAATTATAGGACAAACCAACAAGATCATAGGAACAACAGAACAACGTAAAACAAGAAAGCCTAATATATTACCTGTAAAACGAGCTCAGATATAAAAATTAATTTAATGCCTGAGAAAAAAATTAAAACTTGGATGCGAAAAATCAAGATCAAATTGCAAATAAATACTGCAGGAAATTGGGAAATTTCTTCGGTATGAACGCATACATATGCCGCGTACGAAGGAACGTAGCTTGACTCACCTAATATGGAGTTGAAATGTTGGGGAGGTAAACCGGGAGAGCGTTGATTGATTGCTAGAAGGGGGCTTAGAATTTGTTTCCTGAAAACGGAGAATTTATTGCCTGGAACTTTGAGGAAGACAAAGTCAACTTAGAACAGCCTTCTTCTTCTCCGGAGCTACAGAGGAGGAGGATTCATATGTCAAAATTTCAGCAGTCACAACTCACACGGCAGTTGGTGCGCGTACCTACCTATCTTTTATACCCCATCTACTTCACAATTTCTTTAGTCAATAAAAGGTTCGAGTTATGTCTAAAATAATACTAAAAAAGAGCTATGAACAAAAAAGAGACCTTTATTTCAATTTTCCAAAAATGAGACTAACAATGGGTTAAGAGACTATTATACCCTTATTTTAATAGAATCTCACCTATCAGTCTACAATAACGCCACAGTGACCAAAACCATTATCGTGACCAAAATTCATCACTGACCAAAAATCATTTGTGACCAAAAATTCAAAAATCCGTCAGTGACCAAAATCATTAGTGACAAAAAATTCTACCTAGTTACCAACGTCAACCCGTCCAGTGACCAATCCGACTAGTGACCATGACCAATCCACCCAGTGACCAAAAATCATTTGTGACCAAAATTCCAAAAATCCGCCAGTGACCAAAATCATTAGTGACAAATTTTTTTACCTAGTTACCAACGTCAACCCGTCCAATGACCAATCTGACTAGTGACCATGACCAATCCATCTAGTGACCAAAAATCATTTGTGACCAAAAATCCAAAAATCCGTCAGTGACCAAAATCATTAGTGACCAAAAATTTTACCTAGTTACCAACGTCAACCCGTCCAGTGACCAATCTGACTAGTGACCATGACCAATCCACCCAGTGACCAAAAATCATTTGTGACAAAAAATCCAAAAATCCGTCAGTGACCAAAATCCTCCAGTGACAAAAAAATATTAGTGACCAAAAATTCAAAATCTGTCAGTGACCAAAATTAATAGTGACCAAAAATGTCGTCAAGTAATCAACCTCGACTAGTGACCAACGTCCGTCCGTCCAGTTACCAACGTCCAGTGACCAAAAATCATTAGTGACCAAAAATCCAAAATTCACCAGTGACCAAAAATCCAATTCCAATTTTCCACATGAACAGTTACAATTACCCACCGGATCAATTAAAGTTACCCACTGCGAGTTACAATTACCAAACTCGACCAGTTACAGTTATCTGACCTAATCAGTTACAGTTACCCGACCCCACCAGTTACAGTTATCTGATCTGATCAGTTACAATTACATAATTCGACCAGTTACAATTACAGTAATTACAGTTACTCCACCCGCCAGTTACAATTACTCGATCCGACCAGTTACAGTTACCTGACTTGAGCAATTACAGTTGCTCGAGTCACCAGTTACAATTACCCAACCCGACCAGTTACAGTTACCTGAGTAGTTATAGTTGCCCGATCTGACTCTTTACAATTTCTCGATCCAATCGGTAACAATTACCCGAACCAATGCCCGATAGTAACCACTGGTAGCACCACTACCGGCCACCACCGCGAGTGACCCATCACCGCCATCACTCCAGTAGCCAACCTCCCGGACCGTCTCCAACCCAAACCCAGCCCCCTGCCCTACCACCCTAATCCCAGCCCCACCTTTGTTTAACACCCAGCCCCTCATACCCAGCCCCAGCCACACCTTAATCCCCACCCCGACCCATGCCCAGCCCCCTCCGTTCCGGTCAGCCATCCCCAGCCTCACAAACTAGCCGCCAATATCACGAGGGCTAAGCCGACCACCCCCTAAACGCACTGCACCGCCCGCGATGAGAAGCCATTGCTGCCACCGGCGGCCTATAAATCCTGTCCACCATCGATTCGACCCCCAATCAGCCAAAAAAACCTAGATTCAAACAAGCGCACAACATATCGAACTCTATCGTCGAGACCATTGATTCCAGCCGTCTTTATCACCATCAACCGCCGTCGTGCCCGTCATCGTCGCTCGTCTTCGACTGCGTCGCCCGCCACCGCGCCTCATCTTCAATCTTCCTTTTCACTCATGCTCGTGAAACTGGTCATGGAGGAGAGAAAACACGGGCTGGGGAAAGATGGGAGGTGTTCGGACAGTTCAGGGGTGTGTTTTTAGATTTTATATAATGGGCATTTTGGTCCTTTCAGTTTAAATTAGTCTCTTTTCTGTCGTTTTTCAAGACCAGTCTTATTTGTGTCCGGTCATAAGCTGCTAGTATTATTCAGGTCATTATTTCTAAAAGGTTTCCGCATTTTTCCACAATCTGATCTAAGAATATTCGAAAAAGACTAAGTGAAAATTATATGCTTCAAGCTATAAAAAAAGGAATAATAAATTACTGATATGCTGATATATAAAAAAAGGAATAATAATTAACTGATATGCTAAAAAGTAAAATAAGATTAAAAGTAAATATTGTAAAATACGAAGCAAATATGAGGAATTTTCTATTATTGATCATATCGTTCAATCGAGAATGAAGCATCTGATTTATACAGGTAGTGCGCATCATCCCTTTCCTAGTACGTAGTACTGCTATACGTTTACAAAGGAGAAAAGAATGGAAAACATTAATGACTAAATTTTTCCTATTCTAAGTCTACCACTACGTGCGTATATACATAATAAAGTGTTACAAAAATTATGTACATAAATTAACAATAACTAATAATAATATAGCTATAATAATATAGCTAACACCCCCCCTCAAGATGGAGCATGGGGGTCACAAATGCCCATCTTGCCAAGTAGATAAGAGAATTGTTGAGCTCCGAGGGCTTTGGTGAGCAAGTCCGCTGGTTGGTCTGTAGTGGATGTATAAGAAGGTGCAATAGTGCCGGCTTGAATATGATCTCGTATAAAGTGACAATCAAGCTCTATATGTTTGGTTCGTTCATGATAAACCGGATTTGAAGCAATATGTAGTGCGGCTTGATTGTCACAGAAGAGCCGAACCGGACCAGACTGAGTGACACCGAGGGAGTGAAGTAAATTCCGTAGCCAAATTAGTTCGCAGGTTAAAGATGCCATGGATTGGTACTCTGCCTCCGCCGAAGAACGAGAAATTGTGGCCTGCTTCTTGGTCCTCCATGACACAGGTGAGAACCCCAAAGAGACAAAGTAACCGGTAACAGACCGACGAGTGACAGGACAACTCGCCCAGTGATAAGTCCGTATTTAGACACGCATTTGATGCGTGTTGGGATCGGCTTTTGATGGTTTTCCTAGCTTTAAGGTGTTACAAGTCTCAACTTTAGCTCAAGTTATGTTTAACAGGCGTTGGTTCGAGTTTTGTGTCATTTGGAGTCAAAATCAGGATTTTAGAGTTCGGCACCGGCACTTGAGGAACAATCGGGATGATTTGAGAAGCATTTGAGAATGATTTGATAGCTTTGGAGGTCACCGGAAGATTCGCGATGAAGATTTGAAGGAAAAAGTGCTCTAGGATTGGCTTCGGGATCAAAAGAAGATGAATGAAGCTTGAAAACGACGATCAGGATGACCTTCTGTCAATCGTTCAAGCATATCTCCTTGTAGAAACATCCAATGTACACTATTAAAGTTCCATAGGAAAGCCAACTTCAAGGGCTACAAGTCATATGAAGACACCTTTCCTAGAATCTGAGAGGAAGAAGATGAAAACAGACGATGAAGTCAGATTATCTCTGTTGCGATTTCAGAAAGACATCTTCCACCGTTTTGATCATATCTCTTGATTGGATGATTCAAATCACATTCGGCAAATTGGTGTGGATAGAGGACTTCATTATCTACAACTTTCATGAAGGAAGTTGTGTCAAATTCGGAAGTTTTATGCAAGCCGTGCGTCCGGGTACGCACGCCGTGCGTCCAAGGCGTTGATTGAGGAAGAGCTACTGGCAGCAACGCACGGCCGTGCGTCCGGGTACGCACGCCGTGCGTTCAAAGCGATAAAACGACGAGAAGCTACTGGCAGCAACGCACGGCCGTGCGTCCGGGTACGCACGGCGTGCGTTCAAGGCGTTGAAATCACGGGAGGCTACTGGCAGCAACGCACGGACGTGCGTAGGGGAACGCACGCCGTGCGTTGCCTATTTTCACGCGCAGGTCCGTCGGACGCACGGACGCAACGCATGCCGTGCGTAGGCTCCGTGCGTACCGCGGATCTGTCCTTTTTCGACCCAAACTCATTGTTTTCTATAAATAAAGCCTCCCTAACCCCGTTTTGGGGTTGGGAAACCAAGAGAGAAGCTTAGGGACGTGTTTTACAGTGTTTTTCCGCTATTTTGTTCAAGACCCTGAGATTCTTTGTAAGTTTCATCTTTTTAATTAATGACAATTATTTCTATTCATCCCAATTCTGTTGATTATTCAATTATGAATTGTGAGTAGTTTAATTAGGGATTTGGGGTTGATGAAGGGCTAATCATGATGTATGGCTAGATTCTTGTCGGTTTAATTGCATGAATGCCGTTTAATTTGTGTATGAATAATTTAATTGATATCTCTTGTAACCTAGATGGCCACTAGAATTACAATTGCTTATAGAATAAATTAAGAGAGATCTAATTTGTTCTAGGACACATTCACGCACACTTAATCGTTCGCTAAGAGATTAGTAGCGATTAAGGGGCCGTAAGCTCGCTCGTCTTGGCAATAATTTAGGATCTTGTCGCATGAGAGATCAGCCTGGTCCCCTAAATTATTGTACTCTACGCCGCGAGAGCGGTAAGAACTTAGTAATGATTAGCTAGGCTCAATTAAATTAAATTCATGTAAATTAGGCCTGATCTGCCAGAAATCTGGTTACCCCGGAATCAATCCCTGTTCCCTTCGTCGTTAATTGAGAAGAAAACCACTTTTATTTTAATCGTTCATCTGCATTAGTTTAATTTTAATTCACCAATCAATCTCGCACATTTGCATTTATTTATTTTATTTCTTTTTAATCGCTGAATTTAGTTAATCTTTAATTCCCTTTTGTCCGTCCCTGTGGAGACGATACTCGTACTTTACACCACTTTTCTACAACCATTTTAAGTGCGAGAAAACTCACATCACCCAGTCTGCATCACAATAACCAGTAAGGGAGATAGATGAGACGGATCGCAACAGAATCCCCTGGCCTGGCCGTCCTTTGAGATATCTAAGGACACGAAGTACAGCCTCCCAGTGAGCCATCCTGGGATTCTGCATAAATTGTGACAAAATATGCACATAATAGATGATGTCAGGCCTGGTCAAAGTCAAATAGATGAGTTTCCCGACGAGTCTCCGATACCGCTCGGGGTCAGAAAAATACGGACTAGTATCTGATTGCAACCGGTGATTCTGAACCATAGGAAAGTTAACTGGCTTGCATCCGGACATCCCCGTCTCGGCCAAAATGTCAAGCACGTATTTGCGTTGACAAAAGAAAATTCTTGTGGGATTCCGTGCGACCTCAATTCCAAGAAAATATTTCATGACCCCCAAATCCTTAACAGGAAAAGCGGAAGCAAGATACAATTTAAATTCATCTATCATGGTGCGATCATTCCCGGTAATTAGCAAGTCATCCACATATATGAGGACACAAATGATACGGTTATCCTTGCGTTTGGTGAACAAGGAATAATCTGCATGGGATTGTGTAAAGCCATAATCTCGCAAGGAAGAAGTGAGCTTAGAAAACCAACATCTCGGCGCCTGGCGAAGACCATAGAGTGATCTAAGCAAGCGACATACCTTGCCGGGAGAAGAGGTAGAGTACCCCGGCGGTGGGTGCATGTAAACTTCTTCATGAAGATCACCATGTAGGAAGGCATTATTATCAACATCCATTTGATGCAATTCCCAATGACATGAAGCCGCTACTGCCAAAACGGTACGAACCGTAACCATTTTAGCTACCGGAGCAAACGTCTCACTATAATCAACTCCCTCCACCTGGCGGTTCCCGCAGACCACCAGTCGTGCCTTGTATCGTTCCACCGACCCATCACTTTTGTACTTAATCTTGTACACCCATTTGCAGTAGATAGCTTTCTTCCCAGGTGGCAAGTCCTGGATCTCCCACGTACCAGTACGCTCAAGCGCCTGAATTTCTCGACTCATAGCTTCCCTCCATTGAGGATCACGAACTGCTTCTCCAAAGTTATTGGGCTCCGTAGTCATGGAAATTGCTGCAAGAAAAGCTCGGTGCGGAACCGAAAAATGATCATATTTTATATAATGAGATAGTGAATAAGGAGTACCTGAAGCTGCCGTGGTAACGGGGACACTGACGGGGTGAGAGTTTATTTTAACCGTGTTCAATTGTACATCATAGTCTTTATGCCACGTTGGTGCCTTACGTGGACGCGCTCCTCGTCGAACCTGGGCATCATCATGTGTATCCGCAGCAGTGTCCATGGTGGCAGTATCCGAATGCATCATGGAGTCGGTCATGGATGCATGTTGTCCAGCCTCTGCCTCAATGTTACCACTTTTACAATCATCATCATCTGCATGTCTAATTGTCTACGAACATGCATTTCCCATGCATGCATGTCACTTTCAGGAGCCTTATATGTGTCCATGAAAAGTTCCCCACTTTTAAAGGGAAATTCGTGCTCAAAAAATTTCACATCCCGTGAAACAAAGTGACGCCGTTTTTCCAAGTCATAAACTTTCCAGCCTTTTTGTGAATAAGCGTACCCCAAAAATACACATTTTACACCCCGAGGTGCAAATTTATCACCTCCATTGTTTGGTTCATGTGCGTAGCAGAGACAACCAAAGACCCGTAATTGACTATATACCGGTAATTTGTTATATAGCAATTCATAAGGACTTTTATTATCTATCACATGTGACGGTAACCGGTTGATTAAATATCCCGCAGTCAACACACATTCGCCCCAAAAATCAATAGGTAGATTTGCATGAAAACGAAGAGTTCTAGCCATTTCCAAAATATGCCTATGTTTCCGTTCTACTCTGCCGTTCTGTTGAGGGGTGTAAACACAAGACGTTTGAAAAATAATCCTGTTAGTCACAAAATATTCCTGGAGACTCACAAATTCCTTGCCATTGTCGCTCCTAACAACTTTCACATTTTTGTCAAATTGTCGTTTAGTCATGGCAATAAACTGTTTAAGAATATTTTTGACCTCACTCTTTTCATGCATTAAATGTACCCAAACAGCTCTAGAAAAATCATCCACCACAGTCAGAAAATATCGAGCACCACAAGTAGACAAAACACGATAAGGACCCCAAACATCACAATGAATTAATTCAAACGGTTCAACAGCTCTAGCATTACTAACATCAAAACTATCACGAGTTTGTTTGCCTCTCATACAGGCATCACAAATTTTATTTTGATCAGAATTCAACAACGGCTTATTTAAACTACCAAGTAAACGAAGTACTTTCATTGACGGGTGCCCCAACCTTGAGTGCCACAAATCTCTTGAATCTGAACTCCCCTGCATGCGCTCGTGCTTGATCCAAACCCCGGAAAAAGTAAACCCCCCTCGTCGTTCACCCACTCCAATCGGCATCCTCGTAGATAGGTCCTGTATTACACATATGTCATTAGTAAAAAATATATCACATTTTCGGTCATCAATTAATTTCCCCAAGGAAATCAGATTGCATTTAAGTCCAGGCACTAGTAAAACATGAATTAATTTCAGACGTGTACTGATAGCCACACTCCCTACATGCGTTGCCTCAGTATGTTCTCCGTTTGGCAATATTACTGCCACAGGTGCAATTTGCACCAATTCCTTCAATACATCATAATTTCCTGTCATATGATACGAGGCCCCTGAGTCAAGAAGCCACTCGTTATCAGGATTCATACCTGTGAGCTTTTCCCCGGAGGAGGTAGCCTTACAATTTTCCATTAGTTTGATAAAAGTCTGCCACTGTTCGTCGGTGAATGCGGGTTTATGAAGTACCACCTCCGCACCGACGCTCCCTGTTTCGCCGGCCATCTCCTTGTCGCAGCAACGTGATCAGTAGGTCCCTGACCGACGCTCTGATACCATGTAAAATACGAAGCAAATATGAGGGAATTTTCTATTATTGATCATATCGTTCAATCGAGAATGAAGCATCTGATTTATATAGGTAGTGCGCATCATCCCTTTCCTAGTACGTTGTACTGCTATACGTTTACAAAGGAGAAAAGAATGGAAAACATTAATGACTACTCCCTCCGTCCCCTTTTAAATGTCCCGTTTTACCATATTGGGATGTCCCTATTTAATTGCCCCATACCTTATTTGGTAAACTTTGTGTGGCTCAAAATCATTCTTACTTTATTCTTACTTTATCAATTAATATCAACCACACAAACTCACTTTTCTTAAAACCCGTGCCACCATCTCCCGTCCCTTTTAAAAGGGGACGGAGGGAGTAAATCTTTCCTATTCTAAGTCTACCACTACGTGCGTATATACATAATAAAGTGTTACAAAAATTATGTACATAAATTAACAATAACTAATAATAATATAGCTATAATAATATAGCTAACAAATATGCTGATATGAAATACTCCGTAAATTACTTTTATATTAGGAAAAATTTATTCGTATTTTTTAAAAAGAAGAAAAAATGTTTTCTCCATTATCATATATGACAACTAAGAGAAGCTGTAATTTCTATATAAAATTGAACGTGATGAGCTGTAAGAACTGAATTTCAAGAAAGAAGTTTACAAAAGGATTAGAAGAACGTGATACCGTACCCCGAATTAACACATGTTTGTTGTATAATCATTTAAATACCTGCAAAGAGGAGAATCGGAGGAGAAAAATCAGGTTAATTTGGACGGAAAAGCACAAAACGTCCCTGGTTAGCCGACGAAGAACCTAGCTGGACTCGACAACTTCAACACGGGAAGGAATAAAAGGCTGTATTGTATTTGTGAAGAAAGGACTTTTAATTTTGTGAATATAAAGTGACCTAAATCTAAGTTGTTAAATAAATACCGGAGTATTAGAAAGCTAGAATTAATACTCCGTATAAAAGAGGTCCGGAATTGCCATGTGGCCCAAAAATTGATATGGAATTAGTGATGTGGCGATTTTATTAAAAATAATATTAAAATACTGACATGGCATATGACAAGGCAAAAACTACCCTGATTTGATAAAGAAGTTAAAAAGTACATTCTTTTGGGAAATAAGATTAAAAAATACCCTCCCTTAGGAAAAAACTCGTGAAAACATACTTTTTTTATTAGCTTTTTAGTAAGGGATTTTACCTTCAATATTACTAAATTTGAATCCATTTTCAAAAAAGTGACCATTTTTTATATGGACAAAAAACTGACTAAGAAAATCATATTTTTGGAAAACATGATGTCACTGTCAATTTTCGTGTCACTTAACAGACGTCACTGCAATATACTCATGTCACTAATGAATGTCACTATCTGGTAAATATGTCACTTTGTCCGCCAGAAATATTTTCCAGCGATTTTTCCAGTGAATATTGCCATTGAAATCGTCTCACCGCCCACCATCACCACTGCCTACACCAACTCCCTGCCTTCCGCCACTACCCTGCCCCACCCTAACCTAACGAGCTCCAAAGAACAGGAGCTCCAGATCTGTTCAGGGTCTGCCCCCATACCTCACCACCCACCCTACCCAAAAATCCCAGCCATCAACCAAGGTGTAGCCATCGTTCCACCTCCGGTCGACGCTGCTCAGATTCATTGCTGCTGGGAGCGATTTTCTTCCCCTAATTTCATAACCTTCTTTCAGATTCGCATCAATCGAGATCTGAATAAGGTTGGGGAGAATATGAACCTATTAGCCATTGGAAAGATAGAGTAGGAGAAGAAAAATGTTGGTGATGGAATGATGGTGAAGTAGACTATGACGGTGGCGGTAATGGAGATGAGCGTGGAGTCGGCGCCGATGACGGAGATGGAGCCACACCGGGAGATATCGGCGCAGAGGAGAACACTGTTGTAGATGTGCGAGAGAGGAAGATGAGTCATTGAAGCCTTAGGGAGAAATCAGGAGGTGAGAAGATGTGGCCAGGGAGCTGATGGAGAATAAGTTGGGAAATGGAAGGAACCGATGGAGAAGAAGGACGAGTTACATTTTGGGAAATACGAAATAAGGTCACATTTCGGGAAGTCCAAACATCAACGCTAATATTAACGCCATTCTTTCAATTTAGTAATTCTTAAATTTTAATAAGGGATTTTTACTTGAATATTACTAATTTTGAACCAATTACCAAAAAAGTGACCACTTTTAAAAAGGGACAAAAAAGTGATCAAGAGGGTCATATTAATGTCATTCCCAGATTTTAATGTCACTATCATGTTTTAATGTCACTATCAAATGTCACTGCCGCCATCGCCAGTGTCACTGCGGCCACCGCCCGTGTCACTGCGGCCACCGCCCGTGTCACTGCGCCCACCGCCCGTGTCACTGCGACCACCGCCCGTGTCACTGCGACCACCGCCCGTGTCACTGCGGCCATAGTGACATTGCCTCCCGTGACAACTGGCACAGTGACATCGTCTCCGGTGACACTGTCACTGACATCATCTTCGGTGACACCGTCACAATGACACCGTCTTGGATGACGCAATCAGAGTGACACCACCACATTGACACACCAACTTCAACCATAGTGACATCATCCAACTCAGTGCATGCTGGCGGCAGCACTACCCTCCAACTGCACCCTCCCCTCCCCTTTACCTGCACCTGCCTGCCATAGCTCCCTCCAGAGTCCACAACACCCTTCCTAGCAGCCAGTCACGTCTTCAGCTGACCTTCCCAACCCAACAAGCACCAACATCACCTACGTACCCAACCACCACCACCGCCCGCCGCCGCACCCTAACTTTACTATCAACACCCAGTCCCCTCTCAGCCCAACCTCACCTTCATCACTCCCACCCAAACGCTGCCGCAAACCAACTCCGACCACCCCCAATCAGCCCCAATCCACCCCTCCTAGCCTCACCTTTGACAGCCCTGCCCAGCCCAGCCCCAACCACCCGCCAATGAACCCTAGCCGCCGCCTTCCCCTAGATCTGGCCGCTTAATGGTCGCCATTACAGATCTCACACTCCTTCCATTCAAGGTGAAAGGAGGCGCGACAAGGTAAGGCAAGGCGATGCGGAGAGGTAAGGCGAGGTGAGGCACAGAAACGGCGGCATATGCGGTGAGGTGTGACGGAGAGGCAACGGTTTGTGTGGCGAGGCGAGGCTGAGGGGCAACGTCGATCGGCAAGCTCTCGTCCTCACTCGCCGGTACTGGAAGAGATGTCAGGAGATTGATGGCCGATTGCCATCGCTGAGTGCGCTGGAAGATCTTCGGTTGGTCTCCTTTGGAGGGAAGAGATAGCTGTGCAGATCTGTTTTCATCGTAAAAAGGGGCGTTGACTTTTTGGGAAAAATTGGAAAAGGGCGATATTTTTGGGAAAATTGGAAAAGGGCGATATTTTTGGGGTATATTTGTCTAAACACACATTACTAGTCATACTAGGGAATTTAAAACAATGTAGTCCTATTTGTGATTTTTATCTTCCTTTTTTACCCCTTGTTAGGCAATTAACTTTTTTATTTCATAATTATTCTGGAAAAAAATAGAAGGAAATTAAAGCATTACTTCTACTAATTTAATTAAGGGAAAATGGAAACTAATAATCCAACCTTTTAGCAGTCTTCTTTCAATAATCCCACCTTTTGATTATTCATGAATAATCCAACCTTTGCACCTCATCTTCATTCATTGGTCCCTGGTTTGTTAATGACCTACTATTCAGAGTTATTTTCTTATCTTTGCAAAATATTATCTTTGTGAAAGATGAGATTTATGGTATAATGATTTGCAAAGATAAGAAAATAGTTTGGAATAGCAGGTCATCATGTAACACCGCCCCCAAGTATTTGTACTTTATCAAATTATGTATTGAACCCAAGAAATGAATAAACGCATTTTACGTGATTGTGAATTTTTATCATTTCTTTTACGTGAATAGTAAAATTCACGTGGGGCCCACGCCGGAAATGGGGCCGCCCGATATTATCGGGACCACATATTATATTCGTTTGGGTCAAGATGATACGTGTATAATGGTGGATATCCTTGTAGGGCCATAAAATGTATATGCATAACCATTTGGGCATATAAAGCCCATTTATCGGTACCGAAGTACTAACAGATAAAAGCCATAATAAATCATGGAGACCGCTAAATTAAAAGTTGGGGGATGTATATTCATTCTAAAAGCCAATACTAATTGGAAGAATGATAGATATTTCATTGGATCCGATAAAATGAAATATAGTAAAAACAGTCCGGAAAATACAACTTTCGGGACCAAGTGTACACTTGGGGACACAAAGGGATGACCTCCCACATAAGTGGGGGCCACCCCACGATTTTAGGCTGAAAGGGAATAGGGGGAGCCGCACAATAAAGATAGAAGAGGGAGCATGAAGTGATTGGGATCAAACAATGAAATGGATGAGACCTCTCCCATGCCATTATTGAGAGAAATGCCAAAAAGGCATTCTCAATCATCCCAACTCATTGCAGCTCGGCCATACCCTCTTATTTGGTGAAGGAAGCTCTGAAAATACTCCATAGCAGCCACCATTCACGCACCCAAGCAAGGGGAGGAAGAAGGAAGGAAATAGAAGAAGAGAAAGGAGAGAAATAGGAGGAAAACTTGTGGTTAATAAGGTAATGACTTCATTAACCCCATTTCTTCACTACAATCATATTTCATACTCCTAGTATAGTTCTACACTTGTAAAAGTGTAGAATGGGAGTTGGAGGGTTGGTTCATATCCAAAACGGATTTAGAGAACAAAGTTGATCGGTTCGTCGGAAAATAACCTTTTAGAGGTTATTTGTATTGATAGGGGTTTTATGATGATAAAACCTTGTTATTAACTTGTATAAGGTATTTCAAGAACCTTCACGGAGTTGAAAGGGTCGCCGTAATTGTCGCCGGATTTCGTTGAAGTTCACCGGAGTTTCACCGAGGCTAAACCGGGAAGGCTAGAACTTCATAAGCTTCAATAAGGTGAGAAGACGGCTATATGCTTTATAACTTTTGCGTGAGGCATGAGATTACCTAAATTAATCAATAACATGTTTTATGAATTGATTAATGGTAGTAAAGTATGTGTTATGTCATGATAGAAACCATAACATAGTTGGAAAGCATGAAATGTAGGTTTGATTAGTGAAATTAATATAAATTGATATGTATGATGTTCCAAGGGCCAAAACAGGTATTTTTGGATTAAGGACTTCAAGTAGTACATGCATGTAAAATTTCACGTTAATCGGACTCCGTTTGGGCAGTCAAACGGGCGTTGACCGCCAAGTCAACTACAATACCCGAGCGGGTATTGGCAAATACCCGACCGGGTATTTGCTGAAAATCTGCCCCAAGGGCTGCTGTCTCTTATACCCGATCGAGTATGGATAGATACTCGATCGAGTATGCATGGAAAATTAGCCTTACGGGCTACGGCTTACCGAGAGCTCTCTCGGTTCCCAGTACCCGTGTGCGTGCGTTGGGGTAGTGGTTTAGTTACCACTGTGCCCCATAAAAAAAAAAAAATTAGCCTTACGGGCTACTGTCTCTAGTACTCGACCGAGTATAGGTGGGTACTCGATCGAGTATTGGGTTATACTCAAAACGGGTAGTTTTTGAGTAGGTTAACGTGGACCGATCAGGTGGGACCCGACCACGTTGGTTACTAAGGATTGTTACATGACTATAGGACTAGGTATTGTCCATAGTTAAGTGAATGAAAGGTTAGCCATATCCAAGTTAGGGTTGGTAAGGAATAAGGTTGAGGTTGAGTACCCTCGGGACAGTAAACGATCCCAAAACTCGGTGAGGTTGAGTATCCTCAGGACGGTAAACAATCCTAAAACTCGGTGAGGTTGAGTATCCTCA